CAAATTATTATATGTGAGTCCTTGTATTAAAAAAACAATATTTCCTTCCTAGTGTACAGTGAAATCTTGCCATGTGTTCTCCACAAAAAGTGTGGTGCATACTTCACCAAAGTGCACCACCAACTTTAGTTCAGAAAGCTTACCTCAAAGTTTGACCCACACTCTGGTAAGGTCAACATTCGCTTTGTCCTTTACCCTGGGTAGGTATTCACTGCAGGAGTTCACCAAAATTTTCAACCAGTCTACAATCTTCCTTCCACCTCCCCTTTTGTTAAGGCAAAAAATAATAAAAATGCCTCTCATAGTGTAATATTTTCACAAGCATCACCTTTTATTGAACTAAAATAGAATAGCACTCACAAGAAAGGTGCACTTAAATCCAGTGCACACAGTAACATCTCCTATAATGTAAAAACGCTGGCCCCTGAAGGATCAGCATCAACTCTTCAGATATGTATAAAGATGGCTTACTTCCAGGTGTGATGACGTCACTTGGCCATGACGCGTTTCATCACATGATCAATGACTTACTCAAAGTCAACTACTTTTTCCCTTTGAGAAAGTCATTGATCATGTTATGAAATGATGATGCTGATCCTTAACCATTAGCCACCCAGCCAATGGCCAAATGGCGGCGTGCAAAATACATTAGCGTTTGCGCGCCTGCAGAGCCGTGCAGCGGTGCGATCTGTCACCGGCCATGTACCTCAGACACAGCCGATGACAGATCTGAGTACCGGTCCTGTTGCCGATACCATGTGACCTGCTGTGACCAATCACAGCAGGTCACATGACAGTTGTATACAATGGATGGCTTCATTCATGCCATCCACTGTATACTAGTGTGTGTAGCTGTGATTGGTCACAGCGATCACATGCACAAGCTGGGCTAATCACAGCCCAGCTGTGTCATGTGATTAGCTGTGGCCAAATCACAGCTAAGCACAAAAAAAAAACAAAAACCCCTGAATGAATCGATGTCATTTAGGTAAATGCTTGCTTATAGCAAAGTAATTCTTTGCTATAAACAAATTGTGTAAAAAAATAAAAATAAATAAATACTGATCACTTCCCCAAAGTAGTACAATGTTACGATGGTAACAATGTACTGCATTGGTCATAGTGAAATATGAAAAAAAAAATTGTAAAAATTAAAAATAATTAAAAAAAAATAATAAAAAATTATATATATTTTTTTTCATACTGTCACCAGTCAGTGTTCCTGATCACCACCATGCCAGTTATATGACGACGCTGTACTGCACTGGTGACAGTATGTAAAAAAAATTGTGAAAATAATTTTTTTAATTTTTTCATTTTCCGAAAAATTATGACAAAAAAATACAACTTCAAAAAACTCGCCATGCCTCTTAAGAAGTACGTCGGATTGTCTACTTTGCAAAAAGGGGTCATTTGGGGGATATCTGTACTGTTCAGACATTCTTGGACCTCAAGAAATTAGATTGGCTGTCAGTACTTCAGGATTGATCAATATTCAGATCTATACCATAGTTTCTGAACTCTATAAATTTCCTACAAACTAAAAAATACATCCTAATTTGGGTTATTTTCACCAAAGACATGTAGCAGAATACATCTTGGCCTAAATTTATGAAGAACAATTATTTATTTGCAAACGTTTATAACAGAAAAAAGAAAAACGTGTTTTATTTGCAAAATTTTCGGCCTTTTTTTGTTAATTTAGCAAAAAATAAAAACCCTGGCGTGATTAAATACCACCAAAAGAAAGCTCTAGTTGTGTGAAGAAAATGATAAAATTTTAGTTTGGGTACAATGTTGTATGACCGCGCAATTGTCATTCAAAGTATGAGAGCGCTGAAACCTGAAAAATGGCCTGGGCAGGAAGAAGGTAAAAGTGCCCGGTATGGAAATGGTTAAAGTGGTAGTAAAATCCATTTTTCCACTTTTACCCACAGGTAAGCTTATAATAAAACGAATGTGTAGGTAAAATGATTATCTTCTAAATGTGCACTGTTTAGTAGATATTCTAGTGAGCAGTAGCTGGTGACGTCACTTGCGCATGCACTCTGAAGGAACGCCATACCTGTGCTGTTCCTCAGAGCTCTTTGCCATGCTCGGGGTTCCTGCTCATAAGCATCATTGTGACATCATTTTGACTCAGCCAGTCAGACGGCTGGAGACCGCAAACCTGAAAGAAGGCCGGGTAAAGATGGAAGCCCTGTCAGTGGTAACAAGACACCACTGGAGGGCTTCTATTTAAAGTAAGTCCTTTGCACATACTAGCACATTATGATATTACCTTCCAGGGGGGAAACTTTTTTTTTTCTTCAGAAACTACTGCAATGTTTTTACATTAAAGGAGGTGGTGTCACCGTGTGCACTGGATTTAAAGTTTTACTAAACTAAACCCAGGACCCTGCATTCACTACATCTGGTCTCCCACAGTACACACGACATGGAAATGCAATTATTTTAGTAAATATAAACTGCTTAATACCTTTTATCAGCAGTATATAGCAGTCTTGTGACTTCCATCAGTTTCCAGCTGAGCACTGGTTAAAGCTTGTAGGAGGAGTTTTCATTCTGCTCTGACTGTCGTATGAAGCTACATAACCCCTGACCCTCTGTCTGGACAGTGCAGATTGGCCCTGTGCTGACCACATGCACCCTCCCGAAGAAAAAAAACTCTCTCTAGAAATACACACTAAACTGAGCATGTGCATAATGACTGCTAGAGCTCTGTACTATAAGCAGATGGCTGGGGGACAGTAGAATAAGGGAAGGATCAGAGAAGACAGGGTCAAACAGCATTTTTACACAATGTGGAGAATTCACCCCTTAGGTCCACAGTGAGTATAACAAGCATGTTTTACTGCATATACAGACTGATTTTACTGTTGTGGGCTTAGTAACACATTCCGAAACTTATCTTTTAGAAACACCTGTATACAAACTGTATAGTTGTATCTGCCTTAGTAAAAATGTGTGTGTAAATTTATTCTTGTGTGTGCACAAACTGCTGGAGGAGGATGGAGACAGAACACAAATAAAGTTCAAGAACAGGAGATCTGGAAAGTGGAGTCATAAGGCAAGCTGGGTAAAACACAGGATAATCATGGTGCAGGTCTGGTCACAGAAGCTGACAATCACCAGCGATTCTCCGTAGTTCTCCTGTACTTTAGTAAAAACGTGGATACAAGCACAGCTTTGATTCCATGCTCTGGACCACGAGTTGCATTATGCACATGTGCATATCTTATGGCATGGCCAAGCACTTGATATTCGTGATAAGCAGTCATGTGATTGCTTTGTATATCACAGAAGAAGGATGTGATTTAGCAATCTTGCAATAGCTGCACCAGGTCCTAGCCTTGCTATCTGCAGCAGTGTCACTCCTCAGATACAAAGGACATTCTTAGCGATGCATGGTCATGTTTGCGTCCTTGCAAATAGGTGCACATATGTGTACAGGATTGTATATTTGGGTGTATATATCAGTCCACTTAAAACAAGAAACATACTCCCATTTTATACTAATGATCATATACAGTGAGGGAAATAAGTATTTGATCCCTTGCTGATTTTGAATATTTGCCCACTCACAAAGAAATGATCAGTCCAAAAATCGAATGATAGGTGCATTGTAACACCGAGAGACAGAATAACAACAAAAAATTAAATAGAAATGCATGTCTAACAAATTATGCACTGATTTGCATGTTCATGAGCAGGGGTGGACTGACCATTTGGAAACTTGGGCACTGCCCGAGGGCCTGGAGTCAGTAGGGGGCCCCATGAGATGCCCCTGGTACCTTTTTCATAGGCTTTTTTGAGTTTTGGCAACTCGAACTGTCAGCTCCCTCCACAGATTTTCAATTGGATTATGGGCTTGGCCACTCCAGGAGCTTAATGTGCTTCTTCTTGAGCCACTCCTTAGTTGCCTTGGCCGTGTGTTGGGTCATTGTCATGCTGGAACACCCATCCACAACCCATTTTCAATGCCCTGACTTAGGGAAGAAGGTTCTCACCCAAGATTTGACAGTACATTACCCTGTCCATCGTCCCTTTGATGAGGTGCAGTTGTCCTGTCTCCTTAGCAGAAAAACACCCACAAAGCAGAAAGTTTCCACCACCATGTTTGACAGTTTGGATGGTGTTCTTGGGATCATAGGCAGCATTCCTCCTCCTCCAAACACGTCGAGTTGAGTTGGTTCCAAAGAGTTCGATTTTGGTCTCATCTGACCACAACACTTTCAATCAGTCCTCCTCTGCTCTGTTCATTGGCAAACTTCAGATGGGTCTGGACATGTGCTTTCGTGAGCAGAGGGACCTTGCGGGCACTGCAGAATTTCAATCCTTGTCGGCGTAGTGTGTTACCAATTGTTTTCTTGGTGACTGTGGTCCCAGCTGCCAGGAGATAATTGACAAGATCTTCACGTGTAGTTCTGGGATGATTCCTCACTGTTCTCATGGTCATTGACACTCCACGAGGTGAGATCTTGCATGGTGCACCAGACCTAGGAAGACTGACAATTGTTTTGTGTTTCTTCCATGTGCGAATGATTGCACCAACTTTTGTCACCTTCCCACCAAGCTGCATAGCGATAGTTTGGTAGCCCAGTCCAGCCTTGTGTAGGTCTACAATCTTGTCCCTGACATCCTTGGACAGCTCTTTGGTCTTTGCCATGGTGGAGAGTTTGGAATCTGATTGTTTGATTGCTCCTGTGGACAGGTGTCTTTTATACAGGTAACAAAATGAGATTAGCAGCACTCCCTGAGACTGCTTCTAATCTCAGCTTGTTACCTGTATGAAAGATACCTGGTAGCCAGAAACCCTGCTGAATGATAGGGGATCAAATACTTATTTCCCTCATGAACATGCAAATCAGTGCATACCGTATTTTTCGCTCCATAAGATGCACTTTTTTCCCCCCAAAAAAGGGGGGAAAATGTCAGCGGCCATATGGAGCGGCCGGTCCGATATTTCCGCCGCCACCACGGTGTCAGAATACCAGGCTGGCTGCTCAGCTCTTCTCTGCAGCAGGAACTTACCTGTTCCACGGTCCAGCGCTGTGCAGTCTTCCCGCACCGGCATCTTTAGTGTCGGCACCTGGCTGTGAGAGCCGGGTGTCCACTGCGCATGCGCGAGAAGCTCTGTGCTTTTTGAATAGCCTGGTGTCTTCTGGGAAACATGACAGGTCCCAGAAGACGTCGGGCCATTCACAAAGTGCAGCGCTTCTCACGCACACGCAGTGGGCACCCTCCCCAAAGGTCCGCAGTCTCTTGGTCATCCCCTGTACTGTCTGCAGTCTCCTGGTCATCCCTGTACTGTCTGCAGTCTCTGGTCATCCCCTGTACTTTCTGCAGTCTATGGTCATCCCCTGTACTGTCTGCAGTCTCTGGTCATCTGTGCTGAGTCCGCAGTCTCTGGTCATCTGTGCTGTGTCTGCAGTCTCTGGTCATCCCCTGTACTATGTCCACAGTTTCTGGTCATCTCCTGTATTGTGTCCCCAGTCTCTGGTCATCTCCGGTACTGTGTCCGCAGTCTCTGGTCATCTCCTGTACTATGCCCGCAGTCTCTGGTTATCTCCTGTACTATGTCCGCAGTCTCTGGTCATCTCCTGTACTATGTCCGCAGTCTCTGGTCATCTCCTATACCATGTCCGTAGTCTGGTCATCTCCTGTAGTATGTCCGCAGTCTCTGGTCATCTCCTGTACTATGTCCGCATTCTCTGGTCATCTCCTGTACTGTGTCCGCAGTCTCTGGTCATCCCCTGTACTATGTCTGCAGTCTCTGTTCATCTCCTGTACTGTGTCCGCAGTCTCTGGTCAAATCCTGTACTATGTCCGCAGTCTCTGACCATCTCCTGTACTATGTCCGCAGTCTCTGGTTATCTCCTGTACTGTGTCCGCAGTCTCTGGTCATCTCCTATACCATGTCCGCAGTCTGATCATCTCCTTTAGTACATCCGCAGTCTCTGGTCATCTCCTGTACTATGTCCGCAGTCTCTGGTCATCCCCTGTACTATGTCCGCAGTCTCTGGTCATCTCCTGTACTATGTCTGCAGTCTCTGGTCATCTCCTGTACTGTGTCTGCAGTCCATTGGTTCAGAATATTTTTTTTCTAGTTTTTCTCCTCTAAAACCTAGGTGCGTCTTATGGTCAAGTGCATCTTATGGAGTGAAAAATATGGTAATTTGTTACACATGCATTTCTTTTGAATTTTTTGTTGCTATTCTGTCTCTCGGTGTTACAATACATCTACCATTCGATTTTTAGACTGATCACTTCTTTGCGAGTTGGCAAGCATTCAAAATCAGCAGGGGATAAAATACTTATTTCCTTCACTGTATATATATATATATATATATATATACACTGTATATATAATTTTTTTTTCTGCAACTCACAAGAATTATCTTGGCAGGAAGTGAACCTACTTAAGCCACATTCATGGTCATAGCCAGGGGGAGCTAGCTAATTATTTTTTAGTTAGGAGGTTGAGTAGCAGCAGGGAAAGATAGTTAGAGGAGTCAAATTTAGATCAGGGCCGAGAGGCTCTGCAGATCAGCTCTTTGAAACCTTCCCCTGATCTAGAGACTTGGAGAAGTCTCTAGAACTCAGGTGGTGGGGGTGGGGAGGAGCTGGTCTGCACTCTTAAGGGATCCTGACCAATCCCCAAGCAGGAGGCTTGGCATGGGGCCAGGACAGCTTTTCAGAGTGACTGAGCCTGCTCAGCAGCAGGAGAGTTTGGGAGGAAGATGTAGGAGCAGGAGCTGGAGTGTGGAGACTTGGAGGAGGCCCAGGGAAGGGGGCCTGCCTCCAGGAAGGATACAGACAGGAAGAAAGCTGGACCTCTCCGGCCCCCCTGAGGGAGGACCATCTGTGGATCTAAGGAAGGAGCTAGCCCAGCAGAAGGCCTGAAGGCAGCTACCAACCTGTGGCTTGCAGAAGAGGGATAGTGGGTACTTCTACACCCCCTGGACTGGCGTAGGGGAGAGGGCATCTGGGTGAGAAACCTAACTAGCCCCAGCTGGACTGAAGCCCATGTCCAACCTCAGTCCACTCCTTGTGAAAGTCCCCAACACTTTTGAATGGCCTTTTCCTGACAATCCTCTCCAGGCTGCGGTCATCCCTGCTGCTTGTGCACCTTTTTTCTTCCACACTTTTTCCTTCCACATAACTTTCTATTAATGTGCTTTGATACAGCACTTTGGGAACATCCAACTTCTTTTGCAATTACCTTTTGAGTCTTTCCCTCCTTATCGAAGGTGTCAATGATGGTTTTCTGCACAACTGTCAGGTCAGCAGTCCTTCCCATGATTGTGATTCCTACTGAACCAGACTGAGAGACCATTTAAAGGCTCAGGAACCCTTTGCAGGTGTTATGGCTTAATTAGCTGATTAGAGTGGGACACTTTGAGCCTAGAATATTGCACCTTTTCACAATATTCTAATTTTCTGAGATTGTGGATTTGGGGTTTTGATGAGCTGTAAGCCATAATCGTCACAATTATAACAAATCACGGCTTGAACTATCTTGCTTTGCATGTAATGAGTCTATCTCATATATTTGTTTCACTTTTGAAGTTGCATTACTGAAATAAATGAACTTTTGCACGATATTCTAATTTTTCGAGTTTCACCTGTAGTTCCAGAAAGTTGTCCTTAGTTTAACAGTTCCTTGGGCATCCCGTGTATCCATCCCCATCCTAGTTATCAACCCCTTCATAAAATCACAAGAAAAAAAGTTCAAGGACTGTTTACTGTCTCTGGAGTGCAAGTCTGGAGGGGAATGCATGATGCCTGACTGTGCAGGGGGACCCAAATCTCTAGAGACTCTTAAGGGGGGTAGTGATATATATATATATATATATATATATATATATATATATATATATATATATATTTGTTTTTGTGGACACTTTTTTTTTTAAATAAATTTTGTTGTTTTTGTCTGGCAGTTCCATGCAGTCCTTTCCAGCCACCCCAGTGGTCAGCAGTATTATTACATTCCAGTAACTGTGCCTCCTTGGGCTGTGCTTGAGGTGCTCTCTGATCTGCCCTTTACAAATTCATATAAAATCAGGGGGGTATCCCTAGTATAGACAGGTTGTGGAAGAAATTTGGAAATAGGTCCCTGTATCCTACTGCTCATGTGAACATCAGTTATGTCGGGCCACCTCCACCTCCAGTTTTGTGCATTGGTGACAGTGTCCCTCTAGTGACAGCGACTTTATTCCATCACAAGTGTACTCTTATCCTCTTGCCAGTGGCCAAGGCAGGGTTTATGGTTTACATTCCATCACTTTTGGCTTTCAGGCAACCCAGACTGTATGCCTAGCACATGCTATCTTTGTAAGTGTATTTTATTCATTTTATAAACGCTTTCTGATTAATATACTACATTATAGGGTTTGCACTCATGCCTTTCCTTTTGTACATTGTTAAGTGACAGAGTACTTCCAGTTTATTACTAGATTAAGAATTGTTCACTTTTCTGAATAGGAAAGAGTCCTTACAGTAGTTTGATATCAAAACTCATCCAGGTATTTAACACTAGTTGCATTTAAAAATATATGTTAATTTGTGTTTTTAACCACTTAAGGATTTTAAACTTACATAATATGTCCTAAAAACTTCAACAAAGTTTCTATAACATATCCTGTTCTGCTCCTCTCCCCTTGCTGCCAACCCTCCTTCGCTATTACTGTCATTGCTCTGGTCCATAAGGGGTATAATGGTAGTAGTTGAAGTGGTTAATGTCTGCCTGGAGATCATCTTTAAGCTGGTCATACTGTATGTAATACATAACAACTGGCTATTAAGGAACATGACAACTTCTGGAAATCTTTCCTCTTCCTAACATTTCCATACATTTCCATACATATGGATATTCATATAGGCAGTGTTTCTGCCCTAATATCTGAACCTGATGCATTGTCAGTACAATTTTCTGTCTATATTGTTTGTATGTAACTATTAATATTTATACGGTAATTACATAATTCCCCATACTGCCCCTAAGCAGTAATAGCAGTTTTTTTAACAACATTGGCGTGGTAGACTGTGTCTATGCTAGTGCCTCCCTCGTTCCTTGCAGTGCTGAGCTGGCTATATTTCTTCCAGCAACTCCTGAGGATGGTGTCCTAGAATAATGGCCATGATACATGTTCCTGGAAATTTTTTATGTCAGACCTCTTTTCACCAGAGAAGACGGATTGTGTTTCCGTCTTTGGCCTTAATAGCACCAACCAAATTACCGACAGCAATGGCTGAACTGGCACACACAAGAGACGCAGAGGGTAGGATGTGTGGTCAATGGAGAGATACTGTAATTAGAAATGGGTGGTTTGCCAGATGTTAATGACCAAGGTGGCCAAGCACAAAAGCAGGATAGAAGGACCCAGCTACTGCCTGCTTATGGGGTATAAGCATGGCAGTGTTTGTAATAAAAAAGAATTTGATTGTAAGCTCTAACGAGCAGGGCCCTCTGTTTCCTCTTGTACCACATTGTATTGTAACTGTTATGTCTACCTTCATTTTGTAAAGTGCTGCACAAACTGCTGGCGCTATATCAATCTTGTGTAATAATAATAATTTCTTTGTATTGATTTTTGATTAGTCTAGTTACAAAGACTTTGAAGGATTGGTTAAGCATTTTCGATCAAGTCAAACTTACATACTGTAGTTTTAACAGCAGTCTTGAAAAGGCAGTTATGAAACAAACATGTCAGAGTCAAGGAATAAAACATAAGAAGCAGACAATATTCTATGCTGGTTGTTTGACATATACAAAAAAGGAAAACAATGGTGATGTTTTGTCTCTTACATTTTAAAGATTCTGATGCTGGAGCCAATATCATATTTTTTTCTGTTCCCAGTCATTTATAACCAACACTAGAAGCCTAGAGGGAATTGTGTTCTGTTACAGGCCAAGAAAAGCAGAGATAAGTAATTAGACTTAGATTATGTTTGTAATTTGCAAACCTAATTACTCTCTTCATCCTTAAGCTTTTTTCCCAGATAATGGTGGACCATTGCTGTGTTGTGAGCCATGTAAACCACTGAACAATTGATGAAATTAAAATACAGTTTAAGGTTTAACTTGTTTGGCTTATTATCAAAACTATCTCCCTTGAGGAGTTATAATTGTGTGACCAGTGCTGAAAAGTCTACAAATGGCAAGTAAACCAAGGAAATGTCAGATAAGCACAATTAGATACTCAAGAAAAGCCAGCTCTTTGTCTGAAATATCACAGCACTGTAATTAATATGATAGTGATTGGCAAGAGAAAACATGTTAATGTTCATGGTTTGCATTTTGCCATGACATTCCATTATGGTTGACCTAAAGTTGCTTTAATTGCATCTAGTAACAAAACGCAATGTATTGTTTTCTTTCCCAATTTCTATAGCTAGTGACTATTTTGCTGCATTTGTTTTTATTTGGAAAATTGGCTTAAAATATTTAAAGCGAAGCTCCAGTCACCATAATCACTTTTTTTCTAAAAGCACCCCCATGATTGGCACAGATTGTACATTACTATTTGGATACTGTCCCAACTGTAATTATGTGTGTTTTTTTAAAATCTCGGAAGCAGGCAGGGGTCATCGCGGTTCTGGGCATCTGAAGCCCACACAAGCCTATTTCTGGGATTACGTGCAGC